AAGGAATCAAGAAAGTGCATGTCAAAACAGCTGATTGTATTGTAGTCGACAGCAAAAGACCAATGTGGAGATTAGACTCATTGCAAAGGAAAGCAAACAAACCTTAAACGCAGTCCAGTTGGGGAAGAACTAGATCACAAGTATGACCAGGTTTATGGTCATTTGTAAGGCCAAAATTATTGGTAAGGTCAAAGGTCAATTAGTAATGCTCATAATGCCAAAAGGAAATTGTATAATAAGTATCATGAAAGGGTGAAAGGTCAGTTTAAAAATTAATAACTCTAAGACTACGGTACTGTACATACGAAGAGAAATGACTAAAGTTTGTACAAATTTAAACGACTCAACTTTTTACACAAACAGTGTATTCAGGAACCATTGTGGTTTAATATATTAGAATCCCATGTACTTTAACAAAAAAAAGATGCTTTAAAAAATGGCAGATTCTGATCGAAAAGGATAGATGTAAGCTTCCGACAAGAACTGTTGAGTAAAATCATGTTTTTAAGAAAGATAATTTTGTCAGCAAGTACAAAAAAATCTTGTTTAAAAAACATTCTTGACAGTTTAAACAATGATCAGAGATTTTTTGTTTGTTTAGATATTGTATATTTAAACAACTGGCTTGTAAATGTATGTGTTTCTTACTTCTATATCCTTTTTATAATAGCACATTTTTGTGGGTTTTTTTCCATTTTAGTCTAAACATTTCAGAAGTGCACTAGTTTTGATTAACAAAAGGCCTTATCTTACAGCGCAGTACTTAACTGGCTGACACGTATGATCTACTGTTGAAAAGCCCCAACACAGATCAAAAGCTTGCTACGTAATGAGAAAAGAAAATGGAAAATTATCATTTCATTAAGCCTGTCCATAAGGAGAAGTTGTGAAAATCCTCCTCACTTTGGTTTGGGCAAGGAGGAAATTGGGTATAGTTTCAATTACTCTTCTTTTTTATGTAACAGAAGCGAGGTTCAAACTTTATCTACGTAGGCTTATAACCTGTGATAGCTACCTGCTAAATAAAAGTTTCTGCATATTGAAACATTTTTTTATCGAAGATTGGAAAAATAAGCATCATCTAAAGATGGGTTTCCAATGATTTTCAGCAATATTTCAGTATTTGAAATCTATTACATGTTATGTTATGTTTTGAGTATCAATGAATAAATTGCATAGATATCGACAATGAAATCATATTAAAAGACAACTGACAGAATAGAAAAATAATACATATAGCTTGCGCCTATCGTAATAGATTTCTAAATCTAACATTCAATTGAACAACTTCCGATTGTCACATTATTGATAGTGTTTATTCACCTATACCCTTCAGGTAACCAGAAGTTAGTTAGAACATGTATAACCTTCAGGTAACCAGAAGCTAGTTATAACATGTATAACCTTCAGGTAACCAGAAGTTAGTTAGAACATGTACAACCATAAGGTAACCAGAAGTTAGTTAGCACATATATAACCTTCAGGTAACCAGATGTTAGTTAGAACATGTATAACCATCAGGTAAACAGAAGTTAGTTAGAACATGTACAACCATAAGGTAACCGGAAGTTAGTTAGAACATGTATCACCTTCAGGTAACCAGAAGTTAGTTAGAATATGTATAACCTTCAGGTAACCAGAAGTTAGTTAGAACATGTACAACCATAAGGTAACCAGAAGTTAGTTAGAACATGTATAACCTTCAGGTTACCAGAAGTTAGTTAGAACATGTATAACCTTCAGGTAACCAGAAGTTAGTTAGAACGTGTATAACCTAAAGGTAACCAGAAGTTAGTTAGAAAATGTATAACCTTCAGGTAACCAGAAGTTAGTTAGATCATGTATAACCTTCAGGTAACCAGAAGTTGGTTAGAACATGTATAACCTTCAGGTAACCAGAAGTTAGTTAGAACATGTATAACCTAAAGGTAACCAGAAGTAAGTTAGAAATATATAGACTACACTTAGTGGCTCAGGTATATCCTGCGACTCCCTTTTTAGAAGGTAGAATCATCCTCTGTACACAAAGGATCAAGCGTAAATAGAATTTTGAAGTATATCAAACACAATGAGATTGCATCATGTAATATCATTTCTGTATGTTTTGTTATGCATGCCTACCAAGTATTAATTCAGGAAATAACATTTTTCCTTGCCCCGACATCAATGTAAGTTTGGCTAGTTCAGTTTTTGCGTCTTCATGTGATGGTTAGGTGCCTAAATGTGTGGAATAGGTTGCACAACATTTTTGTGACCCTGACCTTTAACCTTGTCCTCTGACATCTGTGTTGCACAGTTACTGCAGCAAGGGTCACATTACTTTGCATATGTATTGCATATGTAGGTGTCTTCATGAGTAGACAATGTTGCAAAACATTTTTGTGACCTTGACCTTTATCTTTGTGACCTTGGTTTAATTGTTAAATGTGCTAATGGGGCATTTATTTCTTACAGACACACATTTATAGTTTTCTTCTGCACTCGGATAATTTTGTTGTTGACTGTTAATGTTCAGCAATTTGCATGTTTTATGGCCAATTTCATTTCATAACAACAGGAAAAACATGATAATGATGCTTGAAAATACCAAATAACAGCAGTAACCCATCATAAATAAGGAAATGTCAAAAGAAATTAAAACATTGCACAATTGTAGCATCTCTCAAACAAAAGTGTGTATAGATGATAATTTTTTTATCCAATCTGTGTGCTTTTTATTTAAGTCATGGATGGAAGACCTGGATCATGGTCCTAATCAGCAGATGGACATTTTAGAAATGTTAGATTTTTTGTTTGACCTTTTGTAGACATGTGACAGCTAGACTGTTGTACTTGACACCTACCTCCCCCAGAGATCACGTCCCTTCAATACGTTAACAGGGGACAGAAGAAAAACCTACAATTTAATCACTGGAACATTAATAAGGTTTCTCCTTCACATCATTCTCTTTTCCTGTTAGACATTAAATTCTAAACGGTTTCCTTCCCCATTGACTGTCAACTTGATTTCCTATCTTCCCCTCAATATTTCAAACGTAACCCCTAATATTTGCCCTCAGGTATCCACCATCTGCCATAAACACTCCCCTTCAACCCACATATAAGCCCTTTTTCAGTTATTCCCCCTACCAGGCATTGTTAAGTCTTTATTATCAATCAAATATCTTGCCCTACTACCAAAGCTCCAGCCCCTTTCCCTATTATCTACACTAACCCCACATGGTTGTCTCCCCTCAACATCCGACCAGATATACTTTTACATTTTAGATTTTGAAAACAAACAGAGCCTAAAATGGATGCCAATACCCAGTGTCCTCAGTTCTCATTAACAGACCCCATGGCAACCTGCCTGGTCAGACATGGTATTCTCCAATCAACACGGCATACAGCACGTCTGCTTTAAAAAAGATCTGGGTCGATGAATCAGACAGATTTCAGAGCAATTAATTCGGAGTGTCTAATATAGGGACATTTTTTAGTTTGACAGATCTAGAGGTAACTTGTTTTTGAAAAATCAATACCGTTATCTACATGCAGATACCCCAGCCAGCCCTCCAGTACTTACATGTATCTATCAAAGTTAGCATCTATCACTGTGTTTCTCAATTGTTTTAATCTACCGTACATATTGTTGCATGCTTTTACCCAATGTAGATAAATTTTGGTTTACAATGACAGTCTTCATTCCCCCCTCATGTTGAAAAACCTATATACATCTTCTCATATATACCTACCAACTTATATGTATGTATACATAAAATTCACTTAAATATAGCTTTCCTTAGCTCTCGTTCTTTCTCCACAGCAATTTTAAAGCTCATTTGGATGTAGACAGCTAATTTATCCAAATTTTCTGTTTTCAATTCATCACGTTCTGCATAAGAAGTGTGGGCAATATTTGAAAATCAATTTTCGCTCAGGTGCTTGTGCCTCAAGTTTAGTGCCTATCAGGTTGTTTAAATTTTCCCGTCTGAGCTTCAAAAGGTCAGACAGTATTGACAAGGTTTTATTTTATCATCATGTAAATTAGTTATCTCATTATGGAAGTCGCCCTCTCCCTAAGACGGGTATCTTAGAGATGTACTTATTACAGCAGAATGACATGTAAAGCGTTGTTCTCGATTTTGTGTTCTGTCTGGGGTGTTTTTGGTCTATTTTCCCTTCATGATCTTAAATAGACTTTTATTGTCATATTTGTCGCTCCATGATTTTGTCTTATTTGGTGGAAAGGCATGTCTAAATTTATCAATCTTTGAAGAGAAGACATCTTCTACAACACAAGGCTTTGATAGTTTGATACAATTCTTATAGAAAACATCATCCGCTGTTGAGAACTGGTACAACATTTCTTGACACATATTAATGATTTAATAAAGCAAGTGTCTTGATATTGTGTTAGGTTTGGTCCTTGTTTCCTCATAGGTATAAAAAAACATCCTCGGATTCAATCTATTAAGATAATATCCCTCTAACTTAAGTCTCAGGTTTTTGCCTAGAACACAAAAAGCTTGGTAATTAGCACTACAGTGTAGCATCTGTGGTTTAATAATTAATCCTGTGAAATTATTAGTATGGTTTCCATGGAAAACTCGGCTGCAATAAAGCTGTGTCATTTTGAATTTGCAATTCAAATTGTTTAATGATCAATTAAGCCCCATGTGGTTCAGCTACCAGAATTGTTTTCAAAGTAGTAAATGTTTTCAATTATTGCTAAATTTTATCACATCAATCACTAGAATACTTTATTTTTGCATTATCAATTTCTTCCCGGGATGATTTGCGTGGCGAGCGATGTACGGGTCTGTACATTAGCGTTAGTGTGTGTTAGTTATGTGGGCCGTGGTTTAGATTTGTCTCATTGCGGCACGGAAAAAAACCCTACCATGCAGAATCATTGGACAATAGTAGTATATGTGCTGCAGCATGATTTACTTAATTGGGAAATGGCTGGACTTTATCATAGTGATAACTTCTAACTTATTAAATGTTGAATTTTTCAGGTTAGCGGAGAGTGATATTGTGCCCTAGTCTCCTCGGTCCTGAAATGCAACTGCTCACCCCTTGGGACCCAAATAATCAGAATTCTATAAAACCAAGGCCAGAAGTTGGTAAGCTTGTTTCAGACTAATCAGATCTTCTTCTGCAATATTGTTCCTAAAATTATTATTGATTTGGCAAGAGCTATGTGTCTGCATTATAAACGGACATTTTTGTGTTTGATATTTGCATAAATATAGGGTGAGTGGTCTTAATGAGGTTATGCTACACTGGTATAACCTCCAAATTCATCAGGCTCGCTGTGGATGTGCTCGCGCGTCTAATCCCCCCGCGTTTACATGACAAACCATAACGCTGGGAGATGCCAGGCCAATATTAGGGGGTTTATATGTCATCCGCTGATTACACATAATGTGTTAGTATGCAAATTGTGGGGAAAAACAATCAGGCTTGACATTACAGTAATTAAAGATAAAAAAAACCTTAACGTTCCAGGTACTCCCCCTGACACATTCGGGAAAGTACAAGAATTAGACTTTTCTAAGCGGCAAATTTTATTCTCGGGCGAGATTGATGCTGCGTCTATAATTGCATGTCTGACATCCGGCTTTATCATAGATGACAATCATTTGCCGCATTAATTGGAAAGGAAAAAAAATGATTGGACAAAAATTACTTATTTGGCTTTGATATGCATCTTTTACTTACTCTTGTCAATTATCTGTGATATACTGTTACGACCCAGTCTGCCCATGTCTTATGTAACGCCAGCCAATTTTTAACATCTGCACCGGTGGGTGGACCATCGTTGGAGACTTCCCCAGCTTCCCTGGCTCAGCATCTATGTACGATTTTCTTATAGGTTACGTACCTTTACGTCTGGACATTCCTGTCAGAAAATTGAACCAACTGACCGTTTCTTGCCAAGTAAATTTAATGGTTGTCAGGTAATGGCACTATGGGTCTTAAATGTTCAAATATTTGTTAACTTTGTAATTGGAAAATGTGAGATTTTATTTTCCAATTTTATTAAAAAAATGCAAAAAATATATGAACAAAACATTCTTTTAATAAGTCGTTTGAATTTTTTCCTTTTAAGTGAAAGTAGATGTTAAAAGGTGTAAAGAAATATTATATCTTTGAAATTTAAATGATAAATTAGAAAGCTAACATGGCTTCAGATGAGTGGATCCAAGAAGTTTGATGGCTTTTTTTGTGTTTGTTCAAAAGTATCGAATCTCAAGTTTTATTGTTTCTGGAGATATTATGTAGCTTTTATTATTTATAATACCAAAATCTGACAGACAAAACATGTTATAAAAATAGTAATCTGACTTAATATCCACTTTGGATAAAAGACCTGCTTTTAACTTTATATTGACTGTAATGGGAGAAGCTGCTATGCGATGGTCCAAGTACTGTTGGGTCATAATGCAAATTAACCCAGACGTCAAAGTATTGTACTTGGTTTTTGTACAAGACGTTTTACTTGACCACATTGTCAGATCTTGTAAAGGTAGTAACTTTTGCTTGACCACATTGTCAGTTCTTGTACAGGAAGTAACTTCTACTTGACCACATGGTCAGTTCTTGTACAGGAAGTAACTGTTACTTGACAACATTGTCAGATCTTGTACAGGAAGTAACTTTAACTTGATATCATTCTCAGATGTTGTACATGAAGTAAGTTTTACTTGACCACATTGTCAGTTCTTATACAGGAAGTAACTTCTACTTGACCACATTGTCAGTTCTTGTACAGGAAGTAACTGTTACTTGACAACATTGTCAGATCTTGTACAGGAAGTAACTTCTACATGATCACATTGTCAGAATTTGTACAGGAAGTAACTGTTACTTGACCACATTGTCAGTTCTTATACAGGAAGTAACTTTTACTTGACCACATTGTCAGATCTTGTACAGGAAGTAACTTCTACTTGATCACATTGTCAGATCTTGTACAGGAAGTAAATTTACTTGATCACATTGTCAGATCTTGTGCAGGAAGTAACTTTAACTTGATATCATTCTCAGATCTTGTACAGGAGGTAACTTTTACTTGATCACATGGTCAGATCTTGTAAAGGAAGTAACTTCTACTATATCACATTGTCAGATCTTGTACAGGGAGTAACTGTTACTTGATCACATTGTCAGATCTTGTACAGGAAGTAACTTTAACTTGATATCATTCTCAGATGTTGTACATGAAGTAAGTTTTACTTGACCACATTGTCAGTTCTTATACAGGAAGTAACTTCTACTTGACCACATTGTCAGTTCTTATACAGGAAGTAACTTCTACTTGATCACATTGTCAGATCCTGTACAGTAATGAACTTTTACTTGACCACATTGTCAGTCCTTGTACAGGAAGCAACTTTTACTTGATTTCATTGTCAGGTCTTGTACAGTAAGTAACTTAGTTTGTACTTGTGTGTACTGTGTAGTTTGTACTCGTGTGTACCTGTGTAGTTTGTACTTGTGTGTACTGTGCACCTGTGTAGTTTGTACTTGTGTGTACTGTGTACCTGTATAGTTTGTACTTGTGTGTACTGTGTAGTTTGTACTTTTGTGTACTGTGTACCTGTGTAGTTTGTACTTGTGTGTACTATGTAACTGTGTATTCAAGGACTGTTTAATTGTACTTGTGTTGTGTTCATGTGTATACTGCGTCATGTGTACCTGTGTTCCTTTGTACTGTATATCCGTGTACACCTGTGTAACATTGTACTATTTAATTTGTACCATTGTATTGTTTAATTGTGTACTTTGTGCCTGTTATTGAGCATCTCTGTACCTGTGTTTTGTGTTCCTGTGTAGCATTATATTGTTAACTTTGTACCTACATTGTATGTATTGTAACTTTGTACCTATGTATTGTTAACCTGTGTACTTTGTACCTATGTAAAATGGTACTTTGTACCTGTGTATTATTTAGCAGTGTACTTTGTACCTGTGTATTATTTAGCAGTGTACTTTGTACCTATGTAAAATGGTACTTTGTACCTTTGTATTGTTTACCGGTGTACTTTGTACCTTTGTATTGTTTACCTGTGTTCTTTGTACCTATGTAAAATGGTACTTTGACTTGTGTGTTGTTTACCTGTGTACTTTGTACCTATGTAAAATGTTACTTTGTACCTGTGTACTTTGCACCTATGTAAAATGGTACTGTGTACCTGTGTATTGTCTACCTGTGTACTTTGTACTCTTTGTTTGGTGTCTGACACTAGACATGAGGTGATACACTACCCTGGGGTAGGGAGGGCAGCACAGCCCCACTAACACATGGCCAACATTAAATTAAACCCTTCTAATACTTTCCCTATCAAACCTCCCGCAGACGCTTTCCTAAATAGAAATTAGAAAAGGATTAATTCTCAGAACACACAAAAAAGTGTAAACAACCTCTATTATTGAGTTTTGAAAATAGCAACCTCTTTATCTGCAACAACAGGGAAACGTTTGGTTGATTTTTGTGCCCTTTAGAGCATTTCCAAGGTTTTTATGTGTAGAGGAAGACCTGTTAATTGCTGCCAGAGCCAGGAGTGATTAGACAGAGAATTAGACAGATTAAAAGCATTCCTCTACTGTGCCTTGATTAAGAGACTGAAACATATAAATTAATGTAACAGTGACGTAAATTGTATTAATTGCTTCAAAGGTGCATGTTGACTCTGTAAGAGTATGCCTGTTCTACATAACTCACAAATTACGATCAAAACCGTATTTAAAATTCATATATAATGCATTTCCTTTTCCTTCATATTGTTTGAATTAGATGTTATTAAGACCGATTATTTTGATGGTGTGTTTAGAACGTCCCTAAAACTAGAAGAGAATTCTTCTTCCTTTGTTAGGTTTTTACTTGTGGGAAAAAAGGGTGGAGTTTGGCTAATCACTTGCTAACTACCTGTTTCCTACAAACAACTGTGTTTCCATGGTTATAACTTATTAAGGTGGTATACACAAAAGTTAAGTAGCTATGAGGTTCTTGTGTGGGGCTGCCTCAAGGAAGTCTTTTAATATTCCCACCAGAAGCAGTGTTCTTAATGCAGTGAAATCAGCTGGTCCGCCCCCTCTGTATAACCCATTACATAAGCTTTATTCCATAGATTGTTGTGTGTGAGAATAGCCGACATAGCATACATAGCTAGATGAGAAAGGCACTCTCAGGGTGGTATTGTATGTGAATTATCTCCCTTTTGATAGGCTCTTCAGTGAATAAAAAGTGGGGGAAAGCTAGACCAGTGGAATATTTGAATGAAATCTACTTAAGAAGAACAATTTGTAAGATGAAAGAGTAAAAATTGCAGACTAATTAGTCTTTTGGATTATCTTTGTGGTTCGTATCAATTCTTTTATTGTTTTTGATTATGTCTGAAAGTGATGTTGTAAATATAGATGTTTCATTCACTAGTATAGTATAGTACTAGGCTGTAGAGAGCAATACCTAAACCAAATCATGATGTTATAAATATCTTGGCAACAATCTTGAGTTATTAAACTTACAATTACCTGGTTAAACTTACCTTGATTCAAATTCATCGATACAAACTGGTATAATTTTGTTTGGTACAAATTTGCCTGATACAAACTTATCTGGTACAATCTCATCTTGTACAAAACTGCCTGAGCTTAACTCACCTGGGTACAAACTCACCTGGGTATAAACTCACTTGGGCACAAACTCACCTAGGTACAAACTCACTTGTGTTCAACAAGAAGTTACCTGGTTCACACTTACCTGGCGTAAATTTACCTGGGTACACTGTCACCTGGGTATAAATTCATATTAAGTTAATTTACCTGGTCCACAATCCTCTAATATAAATTCACCCAGGTACACTCACCTGGGTACAAACTGATATTAGTAAATTTACCTGATACACACCTGAAATGAATTCACTGGAGTACAAACTCACCTGCTGGGTACAAACTCACCTGGGTACAAACTCACCTTGGTACAAACTCATATATGAAAACAAGTTACCTGGTACAAACTCACCTGGAGTAAATTTACCGAAGTAGGTACACTTTCACACATGATTACAAACCTACCTTAGTACAAACAAATTTTGCTGAAGTAAAGTTACAGGTACTG